GACTGAGTAGGAGTGGCTTGTCAGACATGTGACTGGGGAGGCGGGACCAACTTGTAAAATGTGGTGAAACTCACTTAAAAACGCTCTTGCTTAGCAACCAAAATGTTGGCTCAGAAACTCTGGCATTTGAAGCACGCAAGTCTTAAAGCTGTCAAGTTTCAAGACCCTTACATCCCTAACCCTTTAGAAAAAAAACCCAGGGGTGTTCAAACATGACAGTTTTAAGACTTGTGGACTTCAACTCCCAGAATTTCTCCTCCAGTCATGTTGACTCAGGAACTCTGGCATCAAATTCATAATGGGACTGAAAAAAAGTGGCATGACTGTTATTCACACAACCATTTTTGATCACAATCATGTGATCAAAAATGACATGCTTGGCAACTGGTTCACATTTATGACCTTTCCTGTGTCCAAAGCTTTTTTATGACCTTCTGACCAGCAAAGTCAACGGGGAAACCAGACTCACTTAACAGCTGGGATACTAACTGATGAGCTGCAGTAATTCATTTAACAGCTGTGGCAAGCAAGGTTGTAAAAGTGGGCAAAACTCACTTAACAAAATATCTCATTTAGCAACAGAAATTTTGGGTTCTACGGTGGTCGTTAAGTCGAGGTCTGCATGTACTGGGACCAACTGGGGCATCAATGGGGCGACTTGGACTTAGTCATTCTCCCTCTGCTCTAGCCCGGAAATTCAGAAAACATCCATGCCCCCAACCAACCCAAACAGGGCAGCCTGGCAAGATTGCAGTCCTTGCCGTTCAAAGAAGAGGTTCTTCATCCGGCAGTGAATTGATTTGGGCTGATGATAATAATATACTTCAGAGCATTAAAATTATACCCTTTCCTTCTGGGCAAGGCAGGAACAATAACCCAGCTGTATTATTAGCAACGCTGGAAATGAACACTGAAGATAAAGCATAATGGAAAGCCAGTGCCGAGCTCCCATTCAGGACATTAAAGAAAGCAAATTCAATTTGCATGAAAGGCTGCGCCCACAATCAGCCGGTTCCCATTTGAAGAGAAGACAGATCTTCATGGGAAAATATACCGTAACAGTGCCCTTGGACCTGACCCATTACCAAGTGGCCACAAAGCCTATAATGCCCACCTTTAACCTTCTACCTTTCCTTTGCAGGGTCTGCTGCTGTTCCTCCAGCTTGGCCAACATGGTAAGTTGTTACTGAATTAAAATGCTGCTTCTCAAGATCTAGGGCAGTATTTCTCTAACTTGGCAACTTTAGGATGTGTGGATTCCATCTCCCAGGATCCCTTGGCCAGCAGTGTCCAAATGCATACTGACTGAGAGGATTCTAGTAATTTGGGGTCCTGGTGCTCTATGAGTTTTTTGTTGTTGTTGTTTTCTTGCAGACATTTCATTACCCAGCTAGATAACATCATCAGTGATAGAAAGGAGTGAGGTTTGCACTGATGATGTTACCTACTTGGGCAATGAAAGATCTGCAAGAAAACAACCATCTGCAAGAAAACAATCTCAGAGAGGACCAGGGAACCCATGGTTCAACCCTGGGCTACAAATATTATCTACAATCCTAGGAATTGAAATCCACCCATCTTAAAGGCTTCCTTCTCTTGCTTGTTTTGTTTCTTAGCTTCACCCTCAAACACAAACCCACCGTAAGGCGCCTTTTCAAAGGAGCTGTCAAACTAATTCAACAGGTGCAGCTTTCCTCAATATAATCCAACCCCCCCCCCGTTTTAGGGGAGGGTTTTAAGGAGTCCATTTTGAAGAGGCTTCAGATCCTACTTGCACCCCCAGACGCTACGCAGATACACCCTTTTTCCCCCCTGACACTTTCAAAATATATCAGCCAGTGCCTGCGTGTGCTTGGAACTTTGCCACGTGTTCAAGAACTGTTTCAGGTAGAGATGTGAGGCAGGAAAAGCATGAGCTGTTCTTTATTTTACTAGGGCTATAAATCGCCCCGATCGGGAATTGCTCAGACCAACCTTCTTTCCCACTCCCATTTGCCATCTCATAAAAGAGCTTGTCCATTACGTCGTTGCCGCTTTAAAAAAAAAAAAAAGCTTCACTTGCTACTTGCGTGTCTACCAATGCACTTTAACCCTGAATAAGGGAAGGAATGAGTGTAAGAGGAAGAAGCATTGAAGCCACTGCGAACCCCTTTCTCTTCCCTGAGATTCTTAATGTCTGTCTGTCTTGTCTGTTTGTTGATTGGCTGTCCATCTTAATGGTAACTCTGGCTGGCTTACAATCCTATATTACAAAATAAATATACATATCAATAAAGGAGAATATTTGTAGCTGGGGGGGGGGNAGGGAAAACTCTAGGTAAAACTGCCCAAAAGTGGAGAAGAAGGCCACCTCTAGGAAATAGGGAGGGGGAATCCTGAGAAAAGATGCTTAATCAAAACTAAAACTCTTTTAGAATGCATCTAATTTTGTATCCAGTTTTAACTGCATCCTGTCTCATCATTCAATCTCTCTGTTGCTTTGACTATGAGACTAGTTGTATGGTGTGTAAGAAAGACCTTAGGATAGTGATGGCTAACCTTTTTGTCGTTGCATGCCAAAAGCACACACATGCGACAGCACACACATATGTGTCCACACCCAACCCATAATGCAAAGAGCGTGTGACAACCCAACCACCCCCGGTGTTTGCCCCCCCCCCAGCACATGCACACATGACCACCCCCCCTGCATCCCATTTTGGCCTATTAGGCCTCTCTGCTAGGGGAGCGGGGTGCATGTGGGAGATGTATGCAACCCACCCCATCCTTCCTGCATGCATGTGCTCACGTCTCCAACACGCGCCCTGCCCCCCCCCCCGCATTTGCGGCAGAGACTGGAAAATCAGCTGGCTGGCAGGAGGTACTCGTGCATTCACGGTGCAGCTGAGCTGGGGCGACGGCTTGCTTGCCACCTGTAGCACCCGTGCCAGAGGTTCTCCATTAAGGCCTTAGGAGAATGGCCAAAGAGATCCTGCTAAGAGAATGGTCAGATAGGGACAACTTAGCCCACAGCTGAACAATGATCAGGGCAAAAGGCTCAGAAGAGACCCTTCCTAATTTCTTGGGCAGTAAAGGAAAAGGGGGGAGATTTGTACCAGTTTATATATTTATTTATCCTTCAAGGCCAAGATCAGTCTTGCAAGTTTGGAAGTACAACCTTCTTTCCATCTCCTTAGTCCACAAAACTAAGGGAGCATCACTTCTAAATTTCTTGCCTCAGCCATTATCCAGTTGTGGGCTATGTTGTCTCTTATCTGACCGTTCCCTCAGCAGTGTCTTTTCAATTAATCTTTCCCACATATCAGTGGTGGGTTTCAAAATTTTTTAGAACCTCTTCTGTAGGAGCTTTGTGGGTGTGGCTTGCCGGCCATGTGACTGGGTGGGAGTGGCTTGCTGGCCATGTGACCGGGTGGGAGTGGCTTGACAGACATGTGACTGGGTGGGCATGGCCAACTTGCAAAATGTGATGAAACTCACTTAACAAC